TGCCGAGAAAGTTTCCGCTTCAACTCAGCTCAACACAAATTCCCCCTTTATGGTCTTGGTGTATAATGAACAACTTCGTGACACCTTTTTTTGGTTTCATTGACTGCACCACGTAGCTTTGTGGTAAGTGTAGGGCTCAATGAGAAAAATCGTACATACCAAATCCTCATTGAAATACAGCTTCTCAATCAAATACACCTAATTGATTATCAATTGATTCAGTGAGTTTTAATCTTCTACCGAATCAAAAAAACTACGGGAGGGCTCGTCAGATTCGATCTTATACCTGGGACAAGCGCGGGTAAGAACTCCGACTATAGTTTATGTGAAATCTTCGAAGAACCTTACAGTATAATCCAGCGGTACAACGACTTCTTGAGTAGAGCTTTTGAATGTGACCTTCATGTCCGTATTCTTCAGATCAGCAGCCTCTGAATAAGAAACATTGATTAGGCACAAAATTCGCAAACAGGGTCCGTTGGGTTTTTCTCTGAGGGGTTTAGTAAATAGTATATTTTGAGTGGAGGATCCTAGTCGTTTTTCAGGGAAGATCGTTATTTGGAGGCTTTCAGTGGTTATAGGGGCAGAATGTGCTGAAATGCGCAGAAGTGTATAAAATGCTGGTCTACTTGAAGATGTACATATTTTCCCCCTTACCTGACCCAGCATCGCCCCCTCCGCCGCTATCGATGGCAATTATGAAAAGATCAAGGAATTTGTGGGGTGAGCTGAAGTGTGTGAAGTAAGTATTGATAGTGATATTTATTGATGTTGATATTCGAGGTTGTGATGGCAGGTTTAATGACGTCATCGACGCTAATGACCGCTAGACTCTCGCGTCATCTAACACTACACCAGCTCCACCCATAGGGGTTTTGAAGCCACGAACTTATCTCAAAAGAGCCTTAAACACTTATAGGCTTGAAGCCATTCTTCTTACCGTAGATGGATGTCGATGCCGTGATCGTCACCTGCAAGCTCTCACTGATGTCCAAAACGCCCAGATCGCTCACTGTCGCCTTGTATTGTAGACTTCGTGCAAATAATAAGGACTGCGAAGGTCCACTGGTGTAAATCAGTTTCATGAGCTGAAACGACATTAACTCAGACATAAAATTACGGACGCCATTTAACAGACTATTACGTAAGAAAAATCATCTACGACGTCAAAAAGGGAAAAAGAAGAGTCGGTATATGTTTACTGTGCGCTTTAGGGGACGTGTGAGACGGAGAATGAATCAACCAATCATTCTGGACCCGATGAAGCTCTTGGGCGAGAATTATAGAGTGGAACACAGAGCATGAACCCATCTTGGCGCCACTAATGGACACGGCTGAGGCTCTAAGGCCCGAGGACGCCATCTGCTCCGTCCAGGACCACTCACCCCGCCCACCTCCATACACCCCGCCCACAAATTACTATTCGTTTGCTACTATTTGCTATTTCGTTTCACCGCAACTGGAGATACGGCTCAACCATCGACCTTGTCGACGGTTTTGTACTGTTTTTTTTCATTACTGGCGTTGCATTTGACACGTCCACAGTTAATCACGAGCGCAACAACACATCAGATTGATTTCGGACTTTGCCTTTATTAACACATTGACGACAACGCGAGTTTTGGCTTTTTTGGCCACGTGGGACCGCGGCGATTTTGCGGGCGCGCTCGCCTCAGGTCGTTCAAGCAGATTTTGAGTGATAAATACACAACTAATGATCAATTCAAAACCAGATCAGTAAATTGTAATGAGCACAACCTAACCAGGGGTACAGTAGTGGAATTTCGATCGAAAGACATGGAATAACAATGAAAAAGCGAAATTTTTCAGAACTAGCTGCAATGGACCTCAAAAGCAATTTTACGTTGATTATTCCAATCAAAACACACATATTGTCATCCCTAAGGTTCCTTATCTACTTCTACTACTATTTAAATCTTCACATTCATAAAAAGAAAAAGTAAACGAAAATTTATTGAAATGAAGATTTCGTATGGTTCAGAAATCCTCCTCTAAATTAAAGTATACGTGACCATTCTAAGGGCCACTATGTTTGTAGCTACGTCAAGGTCTCTTCCATGGAATGAATACAAGAAACTTCTAAAAGAATCAGGCGTGCGCGAAAAAAAAATGAGTGTAATGGGTGCGGGGATATATATCCCGC